TAACGATATAATAGCGACAATTATTATTTTAAAAAAAATTTTTGTTAGGCTTAACATCGATGAAAATTCAATGCGAAGTAAATTAATAGCGATATACTAATATACTAATTACATGGGATATAATAATATACTACACTAATAATGGATTTTTTCATACTTTTCGGTTATCCGACTTTTCAATTATCCGACCAACCCCAGTCCCAAATTGGGTTGGATAATCGAGGCTCTACTGTACCACCTGTACTAAATTCTCTTGATGAATAAGGGCCCTCTACTCTCGCGATTGTTATAAACAACGATCGCAATTCAATAAAATAACAATGTAGAATGTTTAACCTATAGGCCAGGAACACACATGCGTAAAATTGTGTGGCAGAACACTGAATCAGAAATCAGCTTTCAGTTCAGTTTCTGTTTTACGCTTTTATGCCAGAACACACATACGTAAAAATTCTGGCCGAATAGGAAACACCACTGCCACCAACAGTGGTAATTTTATTAATTTTTTTCCTCTCATAGAGGCTATCTATTTTTTTGTACCTTCCATTTTTTCTCCACTTCCTCTGCTATAATATAGAAAATTTAAATTAATAGACTAGTATTCCGAATTCAAATAAAGAACCTGCGATCTAAATACTAGGCCTATATATCGATTCTACTAGACTTACCTGTTATTTGAAATTTAACACCTGTAGCCAATCCATAAACGTTGTTTAAATACAGTGTATTTATACATCACACTGATGTGGTCAAACGAATTAAATAAACTTTTCTATTTTTCCAGACCGTCACAATTGTAGGATAAACCCTCATTGCCGCCATTCTTAGAATAAAAACCACGTGTCTACTTTGACGTCACAGGAAAGACTTCTCTTTATTGGAGGAATTTTGGCGTAAAATTTTTCGGCGTAAAAAGTAGAGACATGTTCTACTTTATTTTCAGTTCTGTTTCAGCCAAAATTTCAGAAAAATTTTTACGTTTTCTGTTCTATGCTAGATTTTCCGCCGAATTTTACGTATATGTGTTCCTGGCCTTACCACAATGCTATATGCAACGTTATATTAATTATATTTTGATGTTTTTAAATAACATAATTATTAAGTTCGTTGCAAGCTCGAAAATATTCTTTTTTCACCGAAAAAAAAATACAATATAATAAATTCGATTGAATATCAGACACACGAATAAAATAATCCGGATGAAAAAACATTCAGAAGAGTTTAATTTTTTTACTTATTTCAGTAAAACAAATTTCTGCCACAATATNTTTTGGTGTTAGTGATTGATATCGGCAAGTGAATTATGGTAAATATTTTTACTGATCTTTATAGATAATATACAACTTGTTGCTAGTTTTGCTTACTTTTCTTAGTCGTTAGATCCAAATCGAATTTCGTCTTTTTGTTTTCACCACCTCTTTTCTTATCAAAATCAAATTCTATAATTAGTATAATTTTATTTAAGTTTTCATTATATCATCAATGATGTTACTAATATCATGAGTATAGAGAAACAAAACTGTCATAATATAATTTCTTAACGGAATTATTAGGCGAAAAAACAGCTGTCCTCTAGTGCCATCGTTTTAAGACAAAAAAACAGGTGGGAAAAACAGCTGTACCCAAGTTAAAAGACGAAAAACACCTGCGAAAAAACAGGTGTGCCCTTGTACCCAGTTAGAAGACAAAAAACACAGCTGTCTCTAGTTCAAAGACACAGCTGGGAAAAACAGGTGTGCCCTTGTACCCAGTTAGAAGACAAAAAACACAGCTGTCCCTAGTTCGAAGACACAGCTGGGAAAAAACAGGTGTGCCTTGTACCCAGTTAGAAGACAAAAACACAGCTGTCCCAGTTTGGTAGTTTGAAGACAAAAAACACAGTGTGGGAAAACAGCTGTACCCTAGCACTGTAGTTAGAAGACAAAAACCACAGCTGTCTGAGTTTAAAGACCAGCTGCGTTCCCATGACCTAGATAATAACTCTTCGAAGACAGGACAAAGAAGTAGCTGAGGATAAAAGCCGCTGAATTTTTCCAGAACTTCACTCATCGACCAACTTTTCTACCGAGAACTTCGCTCATCGACCAACTTTTCTACCGAGAAATTCGCTCATCGACCAACTTTTTTCTACCAAGAACTTCACTCATTGACCAAGAACTACAATCATCATGTCTGACATCGGTAAGTAATTTTTATTTTAATAATAATAATACCTACCTTAATTTAGATTATAATTTTTTTATAAAATTAATTGTAGAATTTGATTTTGATTTTGAAAAAAAAAATAAGAAAAGGGGTCCTAAGCCTAAAACACCCGACAGTAATGAAAACAAAAAGACGAAATTCGATTTGGATCTAACAGCTGAGAAAAGTAAGGAAATCAAAATTCCAGACTTTAAAATTAAGATTAGTGAATCTGAGAGAATCGAGATACAGGAGTTTCAATCAAATTTTTATGTATGTATGACGAAAAGTAAAGGGTCATATCCCGCTAATAAATATAATATAAATGTAAAAGATTTTAACAAGTATAAACAAGCATTCAACGCAATGGGGCAGCATTTGGAAGAATATACCAAATTTTAATAGTATGGTATAATGTTTTTTTTTTT